ATTCTTTTTTTTTTATTCAAATAAATGACCTGTTCAAAGCAACAGTATTCTGTATTCGAATAAATTATTCATTAGTTGAATACTATATTATATTATTTATTTGAATGAATAAAAAAATGTTTGTAAATTAAATAAATACTCTAATTTTTAATTCCTGAGCATTCACTGTTTTAAATAAAAATGGCTAATTTTTAAATTATACTGTTTCTAAACATTCTAGTGTGTATACAAATTGTTTATCTTATTTACAAAACAAATCTTATGAAATCAAGTCAAATGTGTTTACATTTCGTCAACACAAAAAACTCCAATACGAACATTTGCATTATTTCAATAGACTCAAGTTTTATCTTATAGTTAAACTGTATTTTCTGACTAATATTCAATTATGAATTAAATAATTAAGAAATCTGCTTTAAAAGTTATCAAAAGCATTAAAAACTAACTTTAATTTTTGTCCTACTTCATTGAAATATGTATATTTCGAGGTAGATTGAAAGCGCTTGCAATTAAGTTTGTTAAACGACGCTACAATGTAACTGCATAAAGATTATTCATAATTTTTTCGACCCACAATTAAGACGCACGTAATTTTTATTTTGCTTACATTAGATAGTAGATTAAAATAAAACTTTCTACAACAAAATGCAAAAATATACCTTTTTGAATCCACCGTTTGTTACTTTAAACATAATCGTTATAAGTTAGTAAGCTCCCTGCAGACGAGGAACAATTTTGAACGTTTCATCGATAAACATCTTCTGTCCATGAAGTAAGCCATGGAACACTTCAAAATTAGAAATGTACACGTTAACACAGGAACCGTTGAATAAGAGATCGCACTTTCACATACGATACTTGGGCAGCGATGTGGCGATTTCTATTAAGTAATTACAACATTTATAGATGAACTAATTGCAACTTAACTTTTGTTTACATTCCACCAGTCAAAACTATCATCATAATAACGTTTTAAGTAATTTTGAAAGTCGACCCTATCAACTTGTTAACAAAAACATATGAAAATCAATACATTTTCTTAACTTTTTGTGTACGCACCGCCCCTTACGACAACAACTTGGTTTAACGATCCCCAATGCAAGGCTCTATTTTAGTTTTCCAAGAAAAACAATGCGATTCAACTTCTGAACACAAAAGACAACGGTTTAATTAAAAAGAAAGATATTCAAATTTGCAGCGGAAAAAGTATAATTGGATAGATTACATATAGACAATCATTAGATGGCAAATGAATTTAAAAGTAGACAAAAGTTGAATATAAAACCCGTATTTTTGAGGATTTTGTTTTGGTATTGTCTAGAAATTTAGAATGCCTTGATGCGACTATTATTTCGAAAATCGAGAAAAGATGTAATACCAAGATTAATCTTTGTATTTCGTAAATCTCTACTTCCATTATAGGACAACACCATAACATTCAAAAAGTTTGGCTTATGCTTTATATACTTTGAAAATGCAAAATTTATTCTCAAGAGAAAAATTTAAGTAATAAAAGGAGTATACAGTTCAAACCTTAAATAAAATTCGTTCCCGAGAACGTGGTTTAAAAATTGCGTATGTATTGCAACAAAAAATTTGATGAAGTATCTGTACTTCTACAAAATACCCATATATTATTTTGGACTGGTAAACAAACGAAATTATAACGTACGCTGTTTATCGTACGCATGCGTAATAACTAACTGTGACCTATGACTGATAGCAATTCTAAATTTCAGTATGTATTTATGAACCCTTTTATAAATTTATTTAATGAAGTTCTTACCTAATTGAGGCAGTATTGTATACTTGCTTTGGGTTGATAAGACGAATCGTACTATTTTTTTTTTCATTTCTCGATGAAATGCTTGTTTTTTTAGCCTTCATTAGTTCAGATGCACGATTACGCTTTTTCACTGTTGGTATGTAAACGTTATTCATATAATTACCATATGCCTTACAATCTTGTTTGATACAACATAAATACCTGCAATAATTTCGCACAGCTGAATAATAAAATTGTTTATGCGATGAATATACAAACTGAAGAGAAATAAATTTGTAAACTTTTTTGTGTTTGGTTAATGACAACTGAAAATGTTAAGTCAAAATATGACAAAAAATATGTACTTAAATAAATGCTTAAGGCAGACTAACTTACGTTACTTCTTGTCCTTGTTTTTTACATGATAAGAATAACCATGGAATATTCAAGGGTTATTTTCTTTTCTTCCTTTTCTACTTGTCACGATGTGTTAACACTCATTATTTGTTGGCAACAGTAACAAAGGAGACTTATAAAAAAAAGTTGTAAAGAGGAGCATTGAACACCTTAGTGTATATAAATGTTCGATGAATAAGCCAAGCGTCTAAGTTCGGTAAACGAAAATATAATCGAGGCAAGCGTGTTGAAGATCAGTAGGTGTTTGGTAGAGTGGAAAGAGGCAGCAATAAATGCTTTCTCTTGACTGTTGCTGATAGATCTGCTGATACATTGGTACCTCTTATCAAAAAGTATATTCGACCTGGAACGACAATCATGGGCGACTGTTGGAAGTCGTATGATCAATTGGAAAAAGGGGGGTATCAACATTTGTCAGTGAATCATTCGGTAACATTCAAAGATAAACAGACGAACGCTTGCACGAATACGATCGAAGGTATGTGCACTACTGTCAAGAGGACATTTCCTGCAGCTTATAGGAGCAAAAATCATTTCGATTCTTACTTAGCGCAGTTTATGTATCTTCGTATGAGAGCAGATGAACCATGTATCTTTGATGCATACATGCGAGATGTTGCTTCCATCTATTCATCTACTACAACACCTGAAGCTTCTTCAAAATGAACAGCATATTTTTATAAACAATCTGTTCTTTTCAGAACAAACACATTATTATGAACGTATTGGAATTATTTAAATCTCCCGCGGTTGATGTGTATGTTTTATAATACTTAACCGAATCAATTTTGAATTTGCCGCCGTTATTTTTACTGGCAGCACTGACATTACTGCAGCTAACTTCTCAAAGGGTGGGCTAAACTACACTTTTACCCTCATAACTTAATTGGATAAAATATAACTGATAAAACTGACCTACACGAGGGCAACACAATTTAGAGTTGTCCAAAGTTAATGACATGAAATAAAGGAACTGTCAAAGATTTTTAAACACATTTTTTACCACTTAAAATGCATTCAACAATGAAGTAATCGCATTTGCAAACAAGATCTACAAATAAATAACTTACCCTTAATGGATTAAGAAAGGATAGCACTTTTGTTAGACTTCTGATCTAGTTCACAAAATTTAACTTATCTAAAGATCAAGTTTCCAATACGCATATGTACGCCCACTACACATAGAAATACGTTGCAAAAATATGAAAAAAGCAGACACATTATCAATTCGACTTCAGTAGACCAACCATAGCACAACACTGTTCATGATGATATTTCATATGGCAAGTGATGACAACAAGAAGAAGCAGGACAAGGTGTACACTGTTGTTCTTACCAAGTGTTTTTAACTTACAAGAAATCCTTTGAATTACTTTAATAAAATTACACTTTCCTTTACTTCACTCACTCTTACTCTTTCTGAGTTACTCAAATGACTCAAGAGCTTACAGTTTTGACTTTAGGTCTCAACACATAATATATAAAGCATAATTATTTTGTATAAACATCCAAGCGTTTACACCTAAGCTTTTATTAGCACTAGTTTCCAGTACAGGTGTACTTATCCCGCAATAAATCAAGAGCTCAGGTCTGAGGCCCAGTTGTCAAAAACCTCAACCATCCGCAATTCTCACCAGAATGAATTACTTCAGAAATTGAGAAATCTGTCATGATTAAGTAGTAGAAATACCAAATATTTTCTGTCATATTTTATTCTGAAGAATAATAATGTTGTAAATAAAGTAGTATCATGCAGTCGATTTTAAAAGCCAGCAGCAACCCAGACCACTAGATAGACAATGAATATTTGTCTAAGTAAATACCATTTGCGACAAGATTAAAATATATCTCTTGCTCGTAAATTGACCTTTAAATGAATCAGCTTATGTTCGATTTTCGAGTAGAAGATAAAGACTAATTTTGCCACGAATGGCACTTTTCTGACCATTGATCTAAGCAGTTGATTAATAAACGCTATATGATTTCAATGTTTACGCATGCACCTTGCCCGTTTCGTTGCTTCGTTTGCTCGGAAAAAAAATTAACTTGAACCCTGTTGGGATTGGACCCATAGCACTAGCACCACTGCCCTAGTTTAATTTCCGTAAAGTGGTGAGTTTCGAAAACGGTCAGAGAAGGCTCATAACTGTCAGCGCCACCAGCTTTTCTATGCTTACACGTTGTGGCGTGATTCCAAAGTTTCGAGAGAGGGCTCTCAAGGGCCGATCCCAATACCCAACATGGGCATAAAAAATAGAGTGCTCGTTCTTATGTACGGCGCTAAAGCACAAGTAGAAAGAGACACAATATTAAATGTGTGTATCTGTCTCTCTCTTGCGTTGCCAACGGTGCGAAGATTGCATCAGGGGTCTGATCGGGGCATTCAATATCTCGCTTAAGTAAGCAGTTTTTTCGATAATCCCTATAAAACAATCAAAAATGACGATAATGCGCATGTGGAACGTTCATATTGAAAAGGGAGTTCCACTGTTCCGCTAAACTCAAATTGAGTGAACAGACTAAACAGACCAGACAATGTTGTGTCTCTTTCTACTCGTACTACAGCGCCGTACATAAGAATGAGCAGTCTACATTTCTTATACGTCTATGATACACAACTAGAAATGAAAGTGCAATCATGCAACCAAGCAACCAAGCCACAGATGAGTAGAGAGATTGCTAATGCCAACAGCGTTGGGTTAGGCGGATTCACTATCGGAATTTTTTCCCTAGATCGTATATATAGCTATACTATCTAGGGAGAATGTTCCGTCGAGCAGACAGCACAGCAGTGAAGGGGCATTGCCAAAGACAAGCGGAAATTCAAAATTGTGATATTAATAACACAAGTGCCTATCACCCAATGACTCGGGGTGCTAACTAGCCTCTCTATTGAATAATAAAGTATACATTATTAACACAAGCGCCTATCACCCGATGACCCTGGGTGCTTACAGGCCACTCTGTTAAATAATAAAGTATTAATTATTAACGCAAACGCCTATCACCTGATAACCCGGGGTGCTTACTGGCCACTCTGTTAAATAATAAAGTATTAATTATTAACAAAAGCGCCTATCACCCGATGACCTGGGGCGCTTACTGGTCGCTTTATTAAACGANACACAACACCTATCACCAATGACCCGGTGCGCTAACTCGTTACTCTGTTCAATAAATAATTTTTAAAATAACACAAGCGCCTATCACCTGATTACCCGGGGCGCTTACTGGTCGCTTTATTAAACGATATATATTATTAATTAATAGCACAACGGTAATCAGGTGATAGGTGCTTGTGCTGTTAATAAATATTTTATTATTTAATAGAGAGGCCAGTAAGTGCCCTGGGTCATCAGGTGACAGGCACTTGTGTTAATAATTAATACTTTATCATTTAATAGAGAGGCCAGTTGGCGCCCCGGGTCATTGGGTGATAGGCACTCGTGTCATTAATATTACAATTTTGAATTTCGCGTGTCTTTGGTAACGCCCCTTCACTGCTGTGCTGTCTGCTCGACGGAACATTCTCCCTAGATCGTATAGCTATATATACGGTCTAGGGAAAAAGTTCCGATATTGAATCCGCCTAACCCAACGCTGTACACTGAGAGATACTTTCCATTTACGTGCACAGTGTACGTTTGGCGTTCAGCCGCGTGGTGGCGTGTCGACACCCATCTAGCTGAGTGAATACCGAGCGCTCACTCAGCTTTCAGAGGAACAAATTTCGTTCACTCACAAATCTGAGTGAACGCACTCGACGGGCCGTACGAGTGTCTAACCGACACTGAGAATATCATATGTATACATACGTATTTATATGTGCATCGATATACATGATGTTCATCATTTTAGTTTGAAGGGTGACAGCATTGCTATCGTTACTTGTACAAGAAATTAAATTTAAGTAATAAGTGTAAGACGGAATTTTTTTTTTACAAAACTTTATTTCATCAATAAATCGTTCAATAACTTTTAATATTTTTTAA